TGCCCCTCGCCGACAGCGACCTCCCGGCGCAGCCGGGGCGGGCCCCGCCGGGCGCCTCCCCCCGCGGGCGCGTGGGCGCTGGCTCGCTGCCGGCCTGCTGCAGGGACGCGGCGCGCGGGGCCCTCTGGCTCCCGCCGAGGTGCGGCGCCCTGCGACAGATGCCCTGGCCGTAGGGGCTCGCGGCCGCCGAGGCCGGCCAGGCGTGCGGTCGTCGAGGGAAGCGCCGCTCGTGTTCGCCCTCGTCGCGGGCGATCGTGCCAGTTCGACGGAGCCCGATGCCCGCCTCGGGAAGGCTCGAGGACCGCTCGGAGAGGTCCGCAAGCGACTCCGTGCCGCTCGACTCCGTGTCGCTCGTCTTGTCGCTCGTGGCCTCGCTGGCGGCCAGCTCCACTCCGGGCAGCTCGAGCGCCGTGAGCGCCCCGGCCAGGGGCTGGCCCGACGTGCCGTTGCCTGGGCGGGGCTCGGAGACCCGCGTGACGAGCCTCTGCAGCTCGGGCAGGTCGCGAGCCCACGGAGCCAGAGACCCGGGAAGCCTCAGCCCATCGGGCCTGCGACACCCGCCAGGGCCGAGGGCGCCGAAGCCCAGTGCGGCGCCCCCACGGCCAGCGGACGACCTGCCCAGCACGGAGCACCGGAGCCCCAAGCCCGCGCAAGGGTTCCCGCGGGCCACCCTTGGGGGAACCAACAGGTACCGATGCCGCTGCTCCCCAGACCTCTCCTGGGGCGCGTGCTGACCAGGATTTCGAAGCGAATCCAGTCGCTGGCGACGAGGGAGGTCCAGGAGGCCCGAAAAGGGGAGGACGAGGGGAGGGTAGAGGTATGGGTACCTTTTCCTCCTCTGAAGCCTGGGAATCCGCCGGCCCCTTGTGGGTCCTCAGGCGTGTGAGATTGTTCCCCCCCATAATCCCCCCCATGGGGACCCCAAACCTCGAATTTGACCCCCCCCCCCCGGGCCGCGCGAGGTCCCGGACAATGCGCGCCAAGGGAGGGGGGGAACGCCCCAAAATGCTCCAAGAGGGCACCACGACGCCCCCACACGCGGTCCAAGAGGGCCGCGAATCGTTGGAATATCGACCCCAGACGCCGGCGATGGTCCCCAGACGCTCTCCTTAGCCTCCAAGACCCCCAAGGTGCCCCGAAGATGTGCCCCAGCAGGGTCCCCAGACGCAAAAATGGCTCCATGCCCTTCGTAAAACGTACATTTTAAGCAAACTCGCTTTCTTTCCTGTCCGACGCTCCAAGACGCCCTCTGACGCCCCCGAGGTCGCCCCAGGACGGCCCAAAAGGCCTTCAAGAGGGCCCCCACATTGTCCCAGAAGGCCTCCGGACGGCCCCAGACGCACCCGACACGGCCCAAGGCCGCCTGAAAACGAGCCCACGAGAGGGCCGGGAGGGGGACCACGATCCAAAAGGCAACCAAAAGGCCCTCAGGAGCTCCCAGGAGGTCCCCCTAGAACCCCCTAAGACCCCCAAGGTGCCCCGAAGATGTGCCCCAGCAGGGTCCCCAGACGCAAAAATGGCCCCATGCCCTTCGTAAAACGTACATTTTAAGCAAACTCGCTTTCCCGCCTGTCCGACGCTCCAAGACGCCCTCTGACGCCCCCGAGGTCGCCCCAGGACGGCCCAGAAGGCCTTCAAGAGGGCCCCCACATTGTCCCAGAGGGCCTCCAGACGGCCCCAGACGCACCCGACACGGCCCAAGGCCGACTGAAAACGAGCACACGAGAGGGCCGGGAGGGGGACCACGATCCAAAAGGCAACCAAAAGGCCCTCAGGAGCTCCCAGGAGGTCCCCCTAGAACCCCCTAAGACCCCTAAGGTGCCCCGAAGATGTGCCCCAGCAGGGTCCCAAGACGCAAAAATGGCCCCATGCCCTTCGTAAAACGTACATTTAAGCAAACTCGCTTTCCCGCCTGTCCGACGCTCCAAGACGCCCTATGACGCCCCCGAGGTCGCCCCAGGACGGCCCAAAAGGCCTTCAAGAGGGCCCCCACATTGTCCCAGAGGGCCTCCAGACGGCCCCAGACGCACCCGACACGGCCCAAGGCCGCCTGAAAACGAGCCCACGAGAGGGCCGGGAGGGGGACCACGATCCAAAAGGCAACCAAAAGGCCCTCAGGAGCTCCCAGGAGGTCCCCCTAGAACCCCCTAAGACCCCCAAGGTGCCCCGAAGATGTGCCCCAGCAGGGTCCCCAGACGCAAAAATGGCCCCATGCCCTTCGTAAAACGTACATTTTAAGCAAACTCGCTTTCCCGCCTGTCCGACGCTCCAAGACGCCCTATGACGCCCCCGAGGTCGCCCCAGGACGGCCCAAAAGGCCTTCAAGAGGGCCCCCACATTGTCCCAGAGGGCCTCCAGACGGCCCCAGACGCACCCGACACGGCCCAAGGCCGCCTGAAAACGAGCCCACGAGAGGGCCGGGAGGGGGACCACGATCCAAAAGGCAACCAAAAGGCCCTCAGGAGCTCCCAGGAGGTCACCCTAGGGCCTAGAACCCCGTAAGACGAACCCATGAGGCCCAAAAGGGGCCCCAAGAGACCCCAGAACGGCGCCCAAGAGGCCTCCAACCTGCTTTTTTCCTCCCCCTCCCCGTCCTCCAGACCACGTCCTCCCGACTACTATCCATGAACCCTCTATTGTCGTCGTCGCCGTCGTCGCCTTCTTCATCCCCGCACCCTACTCATCGCCCACTTCCTCCTCCTCCTCCTCCTCCTCCTCCTCCTCTTCCCCCTCCTTATCCTCATCCAACTCTTCCCTCCCCCCCCTCCCCGCGTCGGCAGATGTTCCTGAAATGGTAGGAGGCCCCCGAGAGGCCAACCACGAGATCCCGACCAACATCCTCTAACCCTCTACCGTCGTCGTCGTCGTCGTCGCCGTCCTCACGCCCATCTCCTACTCAACCTTTTCCTCCTCCTCCTCCCCGTCCTCCACCTCGTTCTCATCCTCCAAGTACTCCTCCCTCCCCCCGCTCAGGAGGCCCAGGAGGAAGCCCCAGGAGGTCACCAGGAGGTCCCAGGAGGCCCCCAGAGGCCTCCGCAACTCGGAGCTCTGAGACGCCGCGCTCGAGGTGGTCCCGCCCGTTTCGCCTGAGACTTCCTCGCACCACGTTTCGCCCAAGACATCGTTGCAACTATGGGGTTCGAAATGCCGCGCGCGAGGTGGTCAAGCCCGTTACGCTGGAGACATCCTCGCAACTCTGGGCTCCGAGATGCCCTGCGCGAGGTGGTCCGGCCCATCTCGCCTGAGACATCCTCGCAACTCTGAGCTCTCAGATGCCGTGCGCAAGGTTGTCCGGCCCGTTTCGCACAAGACACTCTCGCAAACAAGCCTCGTGAAATGCAGTCCTGGAGGAGCAATCGTTTATATGGGGGTCGGCGGATGTAGCGTCAGCCTGGAGAATCGAAGGCTGCCTCGGCCTCGGAGCGGCCGTCGGGATGGCTACCTCCGCCCACGCCAGCACTGGCCTCGGCCTCTCGAGCTGCTCGCCGAGGACCGGGAGCCGGACGCCCGCAGGGTGCGCCATATCCTTGGCAGGGCCAACGCCAACGAGCAAGGTCGCGCGGACCCCCACAAAAGCACGACACAAAAACTTGAGCCAAAATGGCTACGGACCGCTTGAGGCGCATCTTGGGCCGTCCAAGTTCCCTTTCAGGGCGTCGTGGGGGTGGCCCGGGGCCCAGCCGCGACGGATGTCCGGTGTCTCTCAGGAACGGCTTCGGGTCCCCAAATAAAGGCCCCGAGCACAAGCGTTTGGTGTCGGGGTCGCGGCCCTGGGCCCCCAAGCCCCCTAGGGCCCCGTCCCCCGTTAGATGTGTGTATGCATAATATACACACATATTTACATACATACATACATACATACATACATACATACATACATACATACATACATACATACATACATACATACATACATACATACACACATACATACATGCATGCATGCATGCATGCATACATACATACATACATATACATATACATATACTTCCGCCAACCGCCCGGGCCCTCGCCAGCAGACGTCCACATGCCATCACATACAGGACATATTCCTGCTTCCTGAACCACATCTACCTCCACCCTCCCCTGACGCGGGCGGAGACACGCGAAGCGTCAAGGAGAGTCGTTTTCCACAGTGGGGAACACATTGCGCATTGCATCCATGGTGCACTCAGCGACGCAAGGGAGGCGGGCCTCCGTCAACCCCGTCCGCTCCTCAATGTATGAGGGCGGGTGGGTGGGGTTAAAAAGTGTTTACACCGTGCCTCATCATACCTTGAATTTGCACGGCTGCGGAACGCGCGCACTCGCGTTGACAAACCGAGTCCGCAACAATCTGCGCGTCCAAGAAATACTTCCGCCAACCCCCGCAAAACTTCCGCCGGCTGTCCACGGCACCGTCGCCGTGACATTTGCACGTGCCTCTGCCGACTTCCGCCGAGCATCCGCCGGCAAACCGCCGCACGCAGTTTGACTCCAACAATTGCCCGAGAGGTTTCGGCGTTAAAACTGTTAAACGCATTTGGGGGCCGGCATATCGCCCACATCAGATTTACTCGACCTGTCGTGCCGGCCGGCCCCCCGCCTCTGGGTGGCCTCTCGGGGCCAGGAGGCTCGGCGGAAGAGGGGCTGCTGGGAGTAGAGCCGCCTTCCGCCAGCCGCCCGGGCCCTCGCCAGCAGACGTCCACATGCCATCACATACAGGACATATTCCTGCTTCCTGAACCACATCTACCTCCACCCTCCCCTGACGCGGGCGGAGACACGCGAAGCGTCAAGGAGGGTCGTTTTTTTCACAGTGGGGAACACATTACGCATTGCATCCATGGTGCATTCAGCGACGCAAGGGAGGCGGGCCTCCGTCTACCCCCATCTCCTCGGGCCGCCTCTCATCATTTGGAAATGCCAGCGTCGAGTCGCATTGCATGACTGTCGAACGCTGACGGCCTTCGTTCTGGGTCGAGCAAGCCCTGCCAGAACAAAGCTAAGCACGGCACGGCCTCCAGCACAACCGCGCCCTGGTATCCATCGAACTCCAGGCGAGACGCCTTGTCGGCGGGGTTGCCGAAGGAAGGGGCCCTCTCAACCCACGACGCCGTGCCGCGCGCCATGTCCAACTCCTGCGACCACGAGGTGAGCTCTGCACTCGCCTCCACTGGCGAATAGCCCCGGATGAGGCCGAAGCGCGCCGCCTCGTTGTCAACCTAATGGAGCAGCACTGCCTGTCGGAGCACGTCCGGCCACAGGAGGCGGGCCACGACCGCGGGGGCAAGCTCCGCCTGGCCGATCACCTGCTCCACAGTGCGCACCCCGCGGTCCTGCCACCTGGCCACGACCTCACCTGGGACTTCCGCTCCCCACACGACAGGGGCGGCGCCCGTGCGATACAGCACGGCGCCGATCGACACCAGTGGCAGGCGGCCAGGGCGAGGGGTGCAGGCCCCATCCGTGAACAGACGCAGCGTCGGGAGGCGTCGGTGGCAGCGCACCTCCCTTGGCCGGGTGTAGCTCAAGAACCGGCGCCACCACCACAGCGCCCACTTCACCCTTGGGGTGATTCGGCCGCCCGCTGCGCACGTCTGCCTGAACTCGCCGAGGGCCTGCAAGGCCGCAGCGCCGCACCGGCCGAATGTGTTTGACCTGGCATACCGGCACTTGCCGATGAGGGATTCCAGCTCGCCGCGGCGGACACGGCCCCTGGCCTCGATCATCGCCAGGTCCTTGCTGATGGACTCTATCCGGCCCGGCTTGTTGCCAACCCTGAAGCAGCCGTGTTCGACAAGGGGGCCCATGTCGAAGTGCGCCCCGAGAGCGGAGAACACTGGCCTCGGCACCCTGTCTTCCGGTCGCTCCTCCTTGGGGGGCCACCCGAGGAGCCTCAGGACCTCCAAGGCCGCGGCATGGCCCCCAGCAGCCAGAACCTCGGGCTCGAGGTGCGGATAATCATCGAAGTAATTCGTGACAGCGACCTGGAAGAGCTTACAGAATATCCACTCCAGAGGCCGAAAGAAGCGGCTGGCCTGAAACACGGCGCCGGTCTCCCCGAACAGGAGGGAATAAGCCAGGCGGAACTCCACGCGGCGCCTGGACGTAGACCAGGACGTGACGACTGAGTACCTGCGGTGTTCTGGCCGCTTGGCCAACTGCTTGTAGGCTTTGCTGAGATCCAGTGTCTGGCCTGCGAGGCGCGCCGCCTCCGCGCGACTCCATTCGTCAGACAGCCTGCCTTCAAGAGCAGCGCCGCCAGGCAGGCGCACACTGACGCGCCGCCGGTCCCAGTCCACAGCTTCCGCCCAGCATTGGGCCAAGCCGGCGACCTCGTCGAGGCCGAGAACATCGAGCTTTTCGGTCCGCTCCACCATCAAATTCTCACCGAACTCTGTGGCGTCGTCGATCTCCCGCGCCTTCCCCCCCTGCCAGAGGCCGAACCTTCGGGCGGGGAGCCAGTCCGGGCCGAGCGCGGCGGAAACCTCCGCCACCGACAGGAGTGGCGCAGACAAGAGGCCTGCAGCCTCCTGTTCCAGCGCCACTCGCTCGACCTCCGCGCCCAGAGCCGGGTCGGACGATGGCCCTGCAGACTCAACGGCCGCGCGCTGCGCCTCCGCGGCGCGCGCCAGGACGGCGGCGACGGACTCCTTCGCCGGGGCCGGAAGCGGAGGGAACGCCCCGGTCCTCGGGAGCACTCCGATGACCGCCAGGCCCGCGGCCGCCTCGGCTGCCAACCCGCAATCTGGGCAACCCGCAGCCTGCGCCATCTCATCGAGCAGGAGGAGCCGCTTGCCGCGCAGCACGTGCCGCACGCCGGGCCCCGTGGACTCGTGCAGCCTCGCCTCGTCCTGTTCCAAGGCTCGCGCCCGGCGGGCCCAGTGTTTGAACGCCAGCCGGCGGAAGCTCACAACCTCAGACGGGCCGCGGGTAAGGACGAAGAACACTGTCTCGAGAACGTGCGAGCGCAGTTCTGGCAGCTGGTCGAAGGGCGCAACTGCCCCGGCTGCCGCGCGGGCAAACTCGTCGGGGTGCCAGGGCAGCCCGAACTTCGCAGGAACCCATCTTGCCTCGGCCCCGTGGTCACCCCCAGTCTTCTGGCCGAGGAGGAGGACCTTGGCCCCTGCGGGCGCTTCGCCGCCGCAGTGCCGCACAGGCTCGCGCAGCACGTCGCCCACCTGCAAGGCGAAGGCCGCCTCTGGCGGAAGCCGAACGTCTGCGAACCCGGAGAATTCCGCAACCAGCGGGGATCGCCTTTGCCTGCGCGGCTGCGTGCCCGTCGCGGCAGCCAGGCGATCGCGGGCCGCTTCGGCGTGCCCGCCCGCTGCCTCGTCGGGCTCTGGCGCCCCAGGGGCGGGCGCGACAGGCCGGCAGGCACGAATCGCTGACGCCGGATGGTGGCCGCCAAGGGCGGCCGCGGGCGACTGGGGGCAACGCGCCGTTGCCCCAGGGGCCCGCCCTTCTGGATGCCTATTCCGCTGCACAGGGTCCGCCTCGTGCACAGCCGAGGCCAGCAGCGGCGCGGCCTCGGCCGGACCCCTTCACTGGTGGCGGGGCAAACAGTGGGGGTCGGAACAACCCACTGCGCCCTTGGGGCAACCTGGCTCGCAGCACAAGTGCCACCCCTTCGAGCACCGCTGGCCCACCTGCGCGTGAGGGCACCCGCGCGGGAGGTTGGCGTCGAAGCAATGCGGCTGCCCATCCGGCGTCTGCCGGTTCTTGCCGATCAGGCCCCTGGGCATGGGGGTGCGCTTGCCCTTGCCGGCCCCCTTCGGCGCCGCTGCGGCGGGTGCGACCTCTGCTGGCTTCTGCCGCTTGTTCTCCGCCTGCCTCTGCCTGGACTCCTTGCGCTTCTCTGCCCTGGTCCTTGCCGAGCCCTGGTCGCCCTGCCGGTCTCCGCCGGGAGCGCTCGCGGCGGCGCCGCCACGCGGCGCTGCGGTCTTCGGCAGAGGCGTCAGGATTATCGCGACGCGCGGGTGATCCAGGAGAATAGGGACGAGCTCATCTAGTGGCCACTTGCCATCAATGCCGGGGCGGATCCCTGTGAGCTCGGTCCGTTCCGCCAACAAGCGCCACAAATCGACATCCGCCCGCTTGACCTGGTCCAAAGTGGGCGGATTGTAGGCCGGGTCAGGGCTGCTGCCCGTGAGCTCCGCCAACCAGCGCTGCTGGATCTTCTGGTGCACCTCCAAGTGCATCACCCGCCCGGCCTCGGCCGCCACGCCGCGCCGAACCAGGACCTGGTACAGGCGGAACTCGGTCCCATAATCGGCCGAAGCTGCCGACCGTGATGGGACGTGTCTGACATACCCTTGCGCGTCTCCCTGCCACTCCGTGGGTTTCTTGCCCGCGGGTTTGGCGTCCTCGTCTGCGCGCGACGGGATGTCGGCCCAAGGGACGTACTTGACCTGGTTGTCTTCGTACATCTGGGCGAACGTAGTGACCGTTGCACGAGCCGGCTCGAACTGATCCCGGATGTTGAGACCAGGGAGAGCCTTCTTCCGCACAGCCTCGACGCGCACCGCGATCTCTTTGGCTGGGAGAGACATCGGTGGGTCGTCCTCGCGACGGTCGATCTCGCGGCGCATGCTGGCACAAGAATGGGTCCAGGAATCCCAGAACAAGCGTCGGATTGCGGTGGTGCTGCGGGCTCCGGCGGCGCCCAACGGAGTCAGAACCTCTCGTTGGAAAGCCTCTGGGTCTGGGTTGCCACCAGCCTGGACCGGGCAGGCGAAAGCGAACGAGCCCATTGTAGTCCAGCCATGTTCTTCAAACTTCGGCCAGAGGTCTACGAGGCCGAACTTGTCGACGCGCTCCCGGAAGACGGCCTCGCTGTCGAGCGCCATCCGGCTAAGCAGAAGCAGCTTGAACTAGGTTGCGAGGCTGCAGAGTAAGCCAAAGCTACAGACATCTGAGCCCAAAACTACGGACGCTGACAATATACACCTCCTGGCACGCGCCATTCGCAATGCCAGGAGCTCGGACGACGCGGTGCGGCGGCGCGCCATTCGCACCGCCGCACTGCAACATGACGCCACGGGCGCCGCGCCACTCGCAGCGCCCATGGCCGCCACTGCGCACGAAATAATGTGCCCAATTGCGAATCGGCTCTGCTTAACATAGCTCTCCATTGAGGGATCCAGGACAAGAGAGTTGCGACCGCTTAGATTGCCACGGGACCTCTCGGTGAAGGCCGCCCGACGCCGCCACCATCCAGGAACCCAGGACAAGAGGAGGCGACCGTTTAGGTTGCCGCAGAGCCTCCCTGGACAGAACAGCCGTCGTCACCCACTGAAGGCGACCGCCATTACTTCCACCTTCTTCCGCACAAGCTCCGCCGGCACCCCAGAAGAGGGGCACGAAATGTTAACAACAGTCCTGCAGTCCCAGGATCGGGGGGGCACGATTTGTTGACATCTGTCCCGGCTTCGTGGCCGATGCAGCTTCTGCCCCCAGTTATTATTTTCGCTGTCGCGAGCCTGAGGGGTCAGATTTCCTGGCAATCCTCGCACCGTGTGCCAATTGCCCTCCGTACCACACGCGTGCGCGCCGGGGGCCCCCGGAGGCCGCCCAGCCGCACAAAAGCAACTCGCCTGTAGGATTTTTGACCCCTTCAGGGAGGAGTGCGACCACAGGGCCACAAGGACGGGAGGGAGGAGCGAGGGAGGGGCAAGGAACGATACACGGGGAGAGGGAGGGGGGAGAGACATGGTGGAAGGGAGAGGATGGGGAAGAGGGAGGGGGGGAGGGAGCGAGGGAGCGAATGTAACATTACATGACAATCTTTTTGTTTCCTTCCATGCCGACCTCCTTTTCGGCCGTTGCGCAGCTCCCTGCCGCACTTCATGTTGCACCGCCTCGCAGCAGCGCGCCATTCGCGCCGCCGCTCCGCGAGGTACAATACTGGCGCCGCGCCATTCGCGGCACTAACGGCCCCGCAGCCCCCTTCACAACGGCGCGCATTCGCACCGTCGTTCCAGTGGCCGCTGCCGCTAAGCTACGCATCGCAGCAGCGCGCCATTCGCACCGCCGCTCCGCGAGCTTGCGTCCCATGGTGCCGCGCCATTCGCGGCACCAGCGGCCCAGCAGCCACCCTCGCAACGACGCGCATTCGCACCGTCGTTCCGGTGGCCGCTGCCGCCAAGCAGCGCATCACAGCAGCGCGCCCTTCGCACTGCCGCGCCGCGAGCTATATCCTGGTGGCGCGCCATTCGCGGCACCACCGGCCCAGCAGCCACCTTCGCAACGGCGCGCATTCGCACCGTCGCTCCGGCGGCCGCTGGTACCATGTAGCGCGGCGCAGTAGCACGCCATTCGCACCACCGCCCCGCGAGATGCCATCCTGGTGCCGCGCCACTCGCGGAACCAACTGCCTCGCAGCCGCCTTCATAACACTGCGTATTCGCACTGATGTTTCGGAAGGCTGCTGGCAGCGCGTGGCATGGCAGCCACCGACGCAACAGCGCGCATTCGCACCGTCGCTTCAGTGCCGGCCGCCATCGTGCATGCAGCCGCCTACGGCTGCACTCGCCTGTTTTCTCGGGTTCGACGCGGCACGCCCGATCAAAAACTACCGGGCTGCTCATTTATAACTGCGGGAAGCACGCCCCGCAGCGCGGCCACGCTGTCACCGGCCACCTGTCCAAGCGAAGGTATGTGCCCCCGAGGAAAAAAAAAAAAGAAAAAAAAAGAAAAAAAAAAAAAACAACAAAAAAAAAAAAAAAAAAAAAAACAAAGAGAAAAAAAAATAAAAATAAAAAAAAAAAATAAAAAAAAAAAAAAAAAAAATACAAAAAAAAAGGAAGAAAAAAAAAGATAAAAAAAAAAAAAAAAAAAGAAAAAACAAAAAAAAGCAAAAGGAAAAAAAAAAAGATAAAAGCCCTGGCTCTCGGGCACGCCGGCCTGTCCTCGCCAGCAGCGCACCTCCGGTGGATGGTCATGCGGACCGAGTGCTGCACCAAGCCATCGGCCGGGAGGGGTTCCTCCCGCTGCTCCGCAAGCGCCGGCTGCGCACCGCCGGCCTCGTCGCCAGCGTCCTCGAGGACAGCGCCCGTGAGCTCTGCGGCCATGGCCACCGAATGGCACCGTGCGTCGCTGTCCGCGTTCTCCGTGGTGGCCGCCGACTCGCTAGGGTCGTCCGACAAGACTGCCGGGCCTTCAACATCCCCGGACGGCATCTCGTCCCCACTGGGCAAAGAGGATGGGGGGCCCGCCGAGTTAAAAAAAAAAAAGAGAAAAAAAAAAAAAAAAAAGAAAAAAAAAAATGCGTAACAAAAAAAAGAAAAGAAAAAAAATAAAAGGAAAAAAAAAAATGGACGGGAAACCCCCAAAAGAAAAGAAAAAAAAAACAAGAAAAAATAGAAAAAAAAATACAAAAAAAACGTAAAGATAGGAATAAAAAAAAGATGAAAAAGAAAAATAAAAACAAAAAAAAAATAAAATAAAAAAAAAGAAAAAAATAAAAAAAAACGGAAAAAAATAGAGATAAGGACCTTGGTGGGTGTTCCTGCTCGCCCGAACTGCCCTCGTTCTCCTCCGCGTCCTCCTCCAGCTCTCCTGCATCCAACACGCACGCGTCCTCGATGCTCGCGCCGGCCTGTTTCGCCGCTGCAACCCTGGCCTCCACCTTCCCAGCAGGGAACATTTCTCCGCGCACAGCGTTCGGGCAGAACGACCCAGCGGCCACAGCATCGAGGGCACGGCCCATCCTGCGGAGAGGCGCCTCAAGGGCGTCTCGCGAGTACGTGAGGATGGACGCGGTTCCAGGTTTGACGTGGCCCCCGAGCAGTCGTCGCGTATTCTCGCCGAGGCCGAACTTGGCGGCCCAAGAGAGGAGCGTGGTCTTGAGAGAATGCGAGCCCAGCGCCGTTACGACGGACGGGCTCTCCCCGTAAGCGGCGAGGATTTCCCGGAGCCACAACGTCGCATCCTCGGCAGACAATCGCCGCTCTCCGAAGCCTCCGCCGACCAGCGGCACAGGCATCAGACACCCTTGCACCACAGCGTCCAGCCCAGCCTCCTCCCTCGCCCTCAACCACGCGTCGGCCCAGCACCTGCCGCGTATGCCGAAGGCATGCCCCGCGACTGGGATGAGCTCAGCCTTCCTGCGCAAACGCCGCCCCGTCTTCCATCTGAGAGGGTCGGCCTCCACCTCGATGAAGCTACCCTCCAGGCGTGGTTCCCGCGACACCGAAGCACCATCACGGTGCCTCGACCGGGTATACAGGAGGAAGAGCTGGAAACCAACAAATACCTTGTCCTCCAAGGCAGGGACATCCTCCACCGCGTCCTCCAAGATCATGGTCTGGTTCACGGTGAGCGCCGGGCGTTGCACTCGAGGTGGCTTGGAATTGGCCATCGCCTCCGCTACGCCCCTCGACCGGCGTGTCACCAAGCCGGCGAAGTCATAACCAAGCAGCGTCGAGGCCAACCCGAGCGCCTCGAGGAACGAATCCGCCCGTGACGGGGGCGCCCTCACTGCCCGGAAGAAGTTGACGTAGTCGTACACAGTGCTCTCCTGTGGAGGGACCGCCCACCCTGCGACAGCTCCTGGACGCGTGCGCTCCCACCTCAAGAACATGAGGAGGGAATTCGCCCTTTTATCCAAGGTCGATGTCGCCCGGCTGTACAGGGCGTCTCGCAAGACTGGTTGGCGCCTCTCTTCTGGTTCCCTTCGGAGCTGCAATCCCAAGATCGTGCCCGACGCCGCCTCGGCCACGCGCATCCACTTGGCCAGCGCAGCAGCCCGCTCCTCGTCTTCCCTATCAGCCGGAAGACCTGCTGCTGCAGCCGGCCGTTTGGCCACGCGCCTCTGGAGGCCTCTGGGCGACTGGGTCCGCGGGAACACAGACAAACACCTTAAAAAGTGTTTACACCGTGCCTCATCATACCTTGAATTTGCACGGCTGCGGAACGCGCGCACTCGCGTTGACAAACCGAGTCCGCAACAATCTGCGCGTCCAGGAAATACTTCCGCCAACCCCCGCAAAACTTCCGCCGGCTGTCCACGGCACCGTCTCCGTGACATTTGCACGTGCCTCTGCCGACTTCCGCCGAGTATCCGCCGGCAAACCGCCGCACGCAGTTTGACTCCAACAATTGCCCGAGAGGTTTCGGCGTTAAAACTGTTAAACGCATTTGGGGGCCATCCTTGGGCCCCAGCCCCGGCACGAAATTATCACGAAACCTCCCCTGAACTATCTGGCGTAACATTGTCGTGCCGTACGGCCCATGTACTGACCTGGCCGGCATATCACTCGCATCAGATTTACTCGACCTGTCGTGCCGGCCGGCCCCCCGCCTCTGGGTGGCCTCTCGGGGCCGGGAGGCTCGGCGGAAGAGGGGCTACTGGGAGTAGAGCCGCCATATACATATACATATACATATACATATACATATACATATACATATACATATACATATACATATACATACACCTACACATATACATATACATATACATATACATATACATATACATATACATATACAAATACAGATACATATACATATACATATGCATATATACACATTTATATACACAATTAAATATATATACACATATACATTTATATATAAAGAGAGAATACTATATTATAGTTGTCTCTCTCTCTCTCTCACACACACAATAGAACCACGCACGCGCTTCGCGCGCGCTTAGGTTCTAGCACGCTCTAGTTGTAGTATATGAAGTGTTCGGCATCGGAGGACGTATATTGTCACACGGATCGTGCCCCTCATGG